TGCTATATTTACTGCTAATATCAAAGAAGGTTTATTATAATAGACTTTCTAGTATTATAATTTAATTCAATTTATTTATAACTTTTTTTATTTTATTTAGATTGTTATGTGTATAAATTTATAACATTAATGAAATATTGATATTTTTTTATATATCAAAATAATTTTTTATTTACAATACTGTATTTAAAATTTATTTATATTATATAAAAAACTAATTATTCTATATCTTTGGTGATTATGATAGTGCCAAAGTTAATCATCCTAATTTTTTAGTACCTACATAAAGATAAGTAATAGTAATTAATTAATTCTTTTTAAAGAATATTTAATATTAAAAATTCTTTTTTATAAGACTCACCTCTGAATGATCCAATGCTTGAGAACCCGATAGCTACAAAAAGGTAAGTAATTTAATGTTAGATTTTTTGATTGATTAAAAAATAAAAAAATATTAAAATATTTTTTCATAGTACTCACCTTTGAACGATTAAATACTTGAGAATCCGGTAGCTACAAGAAGATAAGTAATTAATTGTTAATATAATTGATCGATTAAAAAAAAAATTAATATTAAATATAAAAAAAATATTTTTTTTAGACTTACCTCTAAACGATCTAAGCCTTGAAGAATCCGGTAGCTACAAGTAGGTGATTTAATTGTTAGTATAATTGATCGATTAAAAAAAATTAATATTAAATATAAAAAAATATATTTTTTTTTCATAGACTTACCTCAGAACGATCTATGTCTTGAAGAATCCGGTAGCTACAAGTAGATAAGTGATTTAATTGTTAGTATAATTGATCAATTAAAAAAAAATTAATATTAAATATAAAAAATATATTTTTTTTTCATAGACTTATCTCTGAACGATCCAAGCCTTGAAGAATCCGGTAGTTACAAGTAGGTAAGTGATTTAATTGTTAGTATAATTGATCAATTAAAATAAAATTAATATTAAAAATTACTTTTTACAGACTTACCTCCGAACGATCCATGTCTTGAAGAATCCAGTAACTACAAGTAGGTAAGTAATTTAATTGTTTAATTGATTAATAAAAAAAAAAAATAAAAAAATAAAAAATATTTTTTTTTAGGACTTACCTCTGAACGATCTAATGCTTGAAGAATCTGGTAACTACAAGTAGGTAAGTGATTTAATTATTTAATTAATTGATAAAAAAAAAAAAAATAAAAATAAAAAAATAAAAAATATTTTTTTTTTAGGACTTACCTCTGAACGATCTAAGCCTTGAAGAATCCAGTAGCTACAAGTAGGTAAGTGATTTAATTGTTAGTATAATTGATCAATTAAAATAAAAAAAATTTTTTTTTTTATAAACTTACTTCTGAACGATCTAAGCCTTAAAGAATCCGATAGCTACAAGCAGATAAGTGATTTAATTGTTAGTATAATTGATCAATTAAAATAAAATTAATATTAAAAATTACTTTTCACAGACTTACCTCCGAACGATCCATGTCTTGAAGAATCCAGTAACTACAAGTAGGTAAGTGATTTAATTGTTTAATTGATTAATATAAAAAAAAAAATAAAAAAATAAAAAATATTTTTTTTTTTAGGACTTACCTCCAAACGATCCAAGCCTTGAAGAATCCAGTAGCTACAAGTAGGTAAGTGATTTAATTATTAGTATAATTGATCAATTAAAATAAAAAAATAAAAAAATTAAAAATATATTTTTTTTCATAAACTTACCTCTAAACGATTCAAGCCTTGAAGAACCCGGTAGCTACAAATAGGTAAGTGATTTAATTGTTAGTATAACTGATTAATTAAAATAAAATTAATATTAAAAATTACTTTTCACAGACTTACCTCTGAACGATCCATGTCTTGAAGAATCTGATAACTACAAATAGGTAAGTGATTTAATTGTTTAATTGATTGATAAAAAAAAAAAAATAAAAAAATAAAAAATATTTTTTTTTTTAGGACTTATCTCTGAACGATCTAATACTTAAAGAATCTGGTAGCTACATGAAGGTAAGTAATTTAATTGTTTGTTTGATTGATTAAAAAAAAAAATATAAAAATATAAAAAATATCATAGGACTTACCTCTGAACGATCAATGCTTAAAGAATTCGGTAGCTACAAAAGGTAAGTGATTTTATTTGTTAGTTACATTGATTGATTTAAAAAATAAAATTAAAAATTTTTTTTTCATATCAATCAACGGGTCCTATTATTTTATAAAATAGTCACGTGAAGTGCATTTAGAGATCGAATTGTCATATCAAAGGACTGAAAAATTTCTTGTACATGTAGAACTTGGAAGGTGCATTTAGCCTCTAAGTCCCAAGCTTGGGACCAGAATATTGTGTGCATTTAAAGAGGATATGCATTTATAGAGAATGTATTTAGAGAGGTCTGACTGTAATTTTTTATTAATTTAGATGCAGTATCAAAAGTTACATATTAAAAATAGGATTGAAGCATATGAAATTTCACAAGAATTAAATAGAAAAGTGATTTCTTTAAATATTAATGATGCTATTAATTTTAGCAATAATGCTTGGAATTCTGTAAGTGAAAAAACAAATAATAATTGTTGGAAGCATACAGGAATTCTTCCATGTAATAAAATGAAGATGATGATGATCAGACATATTGTAATAAATCTCATTAATCAACTTCCATTTGATGATCTTATGGATATTGAAGAGTTTCTTCATTTTGATGACTATTTAAAAATTAATGAAGGATTGGTAGATGATGAAATTATATCTATGGTAATAAAACCAAATAATGATAAACCTGGGGTAGAACAAGACAATGAGCCTTTAGCAATAATTTCAAAAAAAGAAGCTTTGAACCATTTATATGATCTTATTATATTTTTTGAAAATTTATCAGATATTTCTATTAATTCAAATGAATTAAATGTATTACAGAAATTGAGACATCGTATATTGATGATTCAAAACAAATTACATTAGATAGTTTTATTCAAATTTTGTAATACACAATAATATTGAACAGTAAATTTACGAAAATTTATAATGCTTTATTAAAAAATTTAAGTTTAAAGTTATGAAATGACAAAATTTTGTATACCGATACTGATCAACATTCAACATTAATATCGGTATATAAAATTTTTTATACACCGATAATCACACCTTTTATTTTTGGTCCCAAGGGGTGTGACTATAAAGGGGGACGACTGTATATGGAATTCCACTGCTTTCTTGAATTCAAAAACTGTACGAATTCCGGCATTGATAATATTACCCTCGGATATCGAATGGAAGTATTGGTTGATTTATACAAATTGAGAAAATCTTTATTGTTAGCGACTTCGAGAATGATAGCATTAATTCAACAATTAATACGAAAAATTTTCAAATATTTCTTAATTATACTGAAATTACTGTAGAGACTGCGAATTTTGAGGGAAAATTGCCAAGAAAAGATATAGAGCCGTATATGTGGTCTAACTATGCTGAAAACCATTTAGAACAACGAAAACGACTCCTCGAATATTTCGACCATCATCTTAAGCAGGAAACTTTCTAAGTGAAACAACTTCGACTTTTTCTTCTGTCAACTGTGTCAACCGTTGATGCATCTTTGATTATGGCGGTGAAAGGAAGGAAAACCGAAAATCGTCAAAGTTAGAATGTTAGTAGCAGAAAAATGAAATGACAGCGAGAAAGAAGTGGAGTTTTGATATATTCGAATGCACTCGTTGTACTTACCTTGTTCTTTCCCCTTTAACCTCTCGATAAAGTTTAAGATATCAATTATGGGACCACCCGGCATCTTCCATTTTTCCATTTTCTTTCAGTCAGTCCAAGAAAACTTGATCCGGTAATATCTTGATTTCGAAGAATATTTAGGTGCTTCTCTTTAAGCTTTAAACCTTGTTTCAGCAAAAAAATCAATAAGTTCTAACTTTTTAACATCAGCTCCGGAAAGAACACATATCCGATACTTATATTATTGGTGTAAACATGTATGATATGATTTCATGATTTATGCAACATAGATACTCAAGAAAATGTAAAACGAAAAAATTTTGGTTAGAGATCGATTGATTCAACCCGAATTTTTGTATTACGGTTTTCCCAACATGACTCGCATCACATGATCAGCATTTGGTAACATCATCTTCCCCAGCATCGTGATCATAGTAAAATATTTGTCACCTGTGTCACACCCTCTCTGTTTTCATTTTTATTATATATTTCAACGACTCGGTTTTTTAAAGTAAGTAAATTTCTATTTGTCACCCATTATTTGTCACTGTGTATGCCACACTTAATTTTTCAACGCCACACTTAATGCCATAACGCTGGCAAAAAAATCACGTGAGCGCAAAATTTTGTTGGTGATGCTGGGGAAGTTTTGTAACATCCGCCATAGAATTACACTGATATAATTCCATTCAAAAAAAAATAATAATTTAGACCAAAGATCATTTCTGCACTTAGATGCAAGCAATATTATTTTTTCATATATACAACGGTTTCTCAGGATTTTTTAGCAGAGTCCTTTCTCTTTGATACACCATTCACCTTCCCTTTTTCCCTTGCGATACGTTATTTTAATTTTCTTAATCCGAATTATTATTTGCGCATTTGTTTGAGTTTATAAAATTGATTTGTGAAAGTGTAAGTGAAGGTAATTAATTTTATTAACATAAATATACTGAATACAACAATAATGTTAAGTTTTCTACTATATTTTTAAGGAACTTCTGTTGATCGGATATTTTTGATATGGTAATTTTAGCGTAATTTTTCAATCCTTAGACCCACTGCAGAAAATATAAAAAGATGAGGCCTATGTTAGTGAAACTCTTGTGTAAGTAAAACAAAAAAAAAATCAAACGAGGTAATCGAACTTATCTTTGAAAATATAGGGTACGAGAGGAAAGAGGCTGTCGACTATCAAGAGATAACTTGAATACCCGCTTACTCATACTTCACCGCCAATTGACTGGAACAGACATGAAGCATGGCGTCTCCTATGTAAATATATCAAGGGAAGCACTCACCGCCAATTGACTGGAACAGACATGAGTTAACTTCAGCAAAGTAAGCGGATCAACTGTCGCCGCCAATTGACTGGAACAGACACGAAAGTTGTTAGCCGTCAAACAACTCATAACTTCACCGCCAATTGACTGGACAGACATGAAGGATGGCGTCTCCTAGGTAAATATACCAAGGGAAGCACTCACCGCCAATTGACTGGAACAGACGTGAGAAACTTCAGCATAGTTGTACCCTCTTTATTTTTTTGTCAAACTAGGAATCGAAACCGTTGCAAATTATTCAAATTATTCGTTGTTTAGTCACACAAATATATATGTTATACAAATTGTTGATCGGATATTTTTGATTTCGATCCTTAGACCCACTGCAGAAAATATAAAAAGATGAGGCCTATGTTAGTGAAACTCGTGTAAATAAAACAAAAAAAAATCAAACGAGGTAATCGAACTTATCTTTGAAAATATAGGGTACGAGAGGAAAGAGGCTGTCGACTATCAAGAGATAACTTGAATACCCGCTTACTCATACTTCACCGCCAATTGACTGGAACAGACATGAAGCATGGCGTCTCCTATGTAAATATATCAAGGGAAGCACTCACCGCCAATTGACTGGAACAGACATGAGTTAACTTCAGCAAAGTAAGCGGATCAACTGTCGCCGCCAATTGACTGGAACAGACACGAAAGTTGTTAGCCGTCAAACAACTCATAACTTCACCGCCAATTGACTGGACAGACATGAAGGATGGCGTCTCCTAGGTAAATATACCAAGGGAAGCACTCACCGCCAATTGACTGGAACAGACGTGAGAAACTTCAGCATAGTTGTACCCTCTTTATTTTTTTTGTCAAACTAGGAATCGAAACCGTTGCAAATTATTCAAATTATTAGTTGTTTAGTCACACAAATATATATATGTGATACAAATCTGTACGTCACGCGTGCATATCGCCAAAGTAATATTAAAAAAAAAAAAAAACGCGTAAAATTTCAATTCGAACTATCTGTTTATACTAGTATTGCTTATTTTCAAAATTATAATGACTGCAGTTCTTAGATCCGTAAAATTCTTAAACTTTACAGCGCCTACCTCAGAAAACACGCATTCTTATTTTAATAAGGTTCCATCTCAGTATTGGCAATTAAAACATTATCTGAGTTTTTGTTTAAAAAACGACGAAGTAATTTTACCGTGGTCAACTGTGTACGACGCTTGGCAAACGTCTCTTAACTTTATATCGAAAAACTGTAATAAAAGATTTCCAGGCTGTGTGTCCAGTTTCTGTACTGAATTATGTAACATTTGTAACACTTATGAAGGCTCAGTCGTACTTGAGAACTGTGAGAAATTTTATGAAGAATTTTATCAACGGAGTATTGACCTGCAATTTGCTGAGAGACTTCGGCTTCTTGAATTTACAATATTCTCGGAACATAATTTGACAAAATACTTAAGAAAATCGGACAAAAAACGAATAGGGGAGGATAATGAAGAACCCTCGTCGTTTAGTGAAAAACGAATTCGCCGTGAAGAATATAATGTGGATAATTATGTGGTTTGTACTTAATCCATATTACTTTTTACGGTGTTATATGCTGTCGATACCTCTTGTTCTAACTTATCTTACAAGCTCAAAGATCACACGGCTATAAGTTTTTCGGATGAAGAGGTAAAAATTATCTTCTCCTTACATACCTATATTGGTATTAAGATCATACGTACTTTGAAGGCTGAATTTCTGTTATTTCAAATAGAGTGAAACCGAAGAAATTTCCCAACCAGTAACTGAACAAGAGGAAAATTCTCCATTTAATACGTGGATTCTCACAACAGGGAAAAACGTCTCTCAAGTTTTGGAGGACTTTAGATCAAAAATTCCAAAACCAAAGGCTTACCTATAGTAAGGACTCATTTTAGTAAATTAGTTGTAAGGCTTTTTCTTACCATCTCACATCTTGGTGTATGTTTGCCAGTCCCGCGTTCTTTGGAATACTTGATCTATCTGGTGAAGATACGGAAGTTAAGAAACTGTTCACCGATGATGAATGGTCAGAAATGAAAAATGATTTTAGCAAAACGGTGGAATTTAAAGATATAAAAGACAATAATAAGCCGGAAGGGGCTAATAACAGCGGTGGAGAAAATACCACCACCACCAGTGATACAAATAAAAATACGACAACTAATACTAGTAATGAAGCAAAACAGCGATCTCAAGAAGAAATGTTGTACGACTTGTTTGATAAAATCCAAGAGGTAACAAGCATTCACTTCTTCATTTTGCTCGTTTGATTATTGGCTGACTTTTTGAATCATTAAGGCTATTAGAAAGAAGCCAGATGATCTAATCACTGCGATAGAAAAATGCACAATTGAGGTATGACATCAATTTTAGTACTATTATGACTTTAAATTTCTTTAATTTCATGACTATTACTAACTATTTGCGTTTTGATTGAAGGGAAATCCAAAGATCAATTCTATACGAAGACTAATCCAAACCTAGTAAGTTCATCATTTCCGTTTTATGTTGGATAACATTTAATTAACATTATTTTTTTACCATACGGAAGCGCCTATAATCTGGAGAGACTACAAACCTCGATTACAAAGGCTATGTTCTCCAATAATTTTACGAACATTTTAACTAAAGGCATCCTGACATACATACCATCGGAAGTTTATATATGATGAGTAAGGGTATTGAAATTTCCGGTTTCACCAAACTATATTCTATTATTAATAATAAACTATTTTGTCATGGTTTCTTAGAGGAGAGATACAAAGTATTGCATCTGCATTCATTACAAATTCAATGAAGAAACCAACAGACAGGTCTCTGATAGGACAAAAATGCGATTTTAGGGTTACGTCTGACGGATTTGAAATGGTTATTGGGTTACGGTCTGGAGGATTACCAGAAGCCTGTAAATCAAAGAAGTTGGATGATAAGATTGATCTGATGGTCGCAATGCGTGATGTCTTATTGCAGGAAGCAATCGAAAATAACGGAGTAGAGTGTATAGATTTCAAGCAATTATATACAATTGGAGTCCACTCATATGGTAAGATTTTCTGTAAACGCACTATCAATTGTTGGTTCATTTATTCAAATTAATATTACACATTAGGCTTTTTTTATAACGTCTATGCCATGGATTGGAAATCAAGAGGGTTGTGGAGGCTAGGCTTACTGAAAAAAACAAAGCTACCACAATCAAATTTACAATTACTCATAATTGAAAAATTAGTCGTAACATTGCTACGAATTGAGGTTTGTCTTCTTTCTCAAAGTTTAATTTATGGTTTTTGGGCATACCGAATTCATATGTCTGGGAAGATTCTTTATGTTAAAAATTTTCCTTTCTATAGTCAACACTCAATCATATTGAAACTATTCGGAATGACTTAGTAATGAAAGCATCAAGATTACATAGAAAAGGCCGCACTTCTATCATCCTTAAACAATATGCAGTTTGTGAACAACGTGTAAGGCGGATACGTATTCTAAAAGACCTTTATAAGGACTAGCATGTGGGAAATTAATATGTAGTAATCAGAATTTTTTCGCTTGATATGATAAACTTATGTATATGTATAGATATGGATATCGATACTTATGTTTACCGCGTACTATAAAAACATATGTTTCGGGAAAATTTGCGTAATAAATTCTTATTTTGTTGTAAATCAATAATCATTCATTAGCTAACGTGGAATACGCAAGATTTCGGAATCAATGCGCAGTAATATTTTGAGTTGTTGCTGAGCATTTAAAAAAAAGCTCAAACTAATATTCATTTTTTCGTTCAGGAATTTATTAACATCATAATTTACAGCGGAGTTTTATTAAGGTTAATGTTGTTCATTCCTGGCATTACATGTTCGCTATCCAGAATACAGTCGTACCTCCATATAGTCACACAGTTGGGCGCATATAAAATGTGTGCTTATATGGAGGTGTGACTATATATTGAATCCCTTTATATAGTCACACTGTAAGTAATTTTATAACATTGTGATTAAATAGAGGTATATTAT